AATAATGAGTGGGTGGATTTTTACCATTATAGGCTGGTTGTTTTCGCACACTGTGGCCACACAACTGTGTTCAAACACCTTATAAAAGCAGTTTTTGCACAATAGCTCACCTTTAAACCTGAGACAGAACTTGTTTTGCTGTGATTTGTGAGCAGGCCTGTGACAGTGTGACCATGAGTGACCATCTGTTGCGGGTGGTGCTGAACTTACTGAGGAGAGAAGTGTCCGAACACGGACGCCACCTCCAGCAGTACTTCAACCTCTTCGTCATGTACGCCAATCTGGGTAAGCGCTCATTCGCTCCGGCTCGCGTAAGTCTCGACAGGTTTATGTGGATGTAGAATGTCAGAATGATGCTGTCTGTCTGCTGCAGGTCTGGCAGAAAAGACACAGCTGCTGAAGCTGAGCGTTCCAGCCACGTTCATGCTAGTGGCGCTGGACGAGGGTCCCGGGCCTCCCATTAAGTATCAGTACGCAGAGCTCGGCAAACTCTACACCGTAGTGTCACAGCTGGTGCGCTGCTGCGACGTGGCGTCACGCATGCAGTCCTCTATTAACGGTGAGTGTTAACTATGCTGGTGTCCTTCCACGTGTCACACGAAGGCTCTCAGGTTCTCAGCTCTTTCTCGCACACTCTCCTCTCTCAGGTAACCCACCTCTGGCCAATCCGTTCGCCGACCCCAGCCTCACAGCTCCCATCATGCCCCTGCAGCAGCTAGTGGCTGAAACCCTGTTTGTGCGCACCAGCTACGTGAAGAAGATCATCGAGGACTGCAGCACTTCTGAGGAGACGGTGAAGCTGCTGCGCTTCTGCTGCTGGGAGAACCCACAGTTCTCCTCCACTGTCCTCAGCGAGCTGCTCTGGCAGGTTAGTCAGTGATGAACGCTCAGTGGAAGCCTGTTTTCTGTAGGCCAATCGTTGTGAATGTCCTGTCATTCCTTGCGGTGTCAGGTGGCGTATTCCTACACCTATGAGCTGAGGCCTTACCTGGATCTCCTGCTGCAGATCCTCCTGATTGAGGACTCGTGGCAGACGCACCGGTGAGTCGAAATCTGCGTGATGGTGAGAGCATCTGAATGTCAAAGAGCAAGTGTCCTCATATCAGTTCTCTCTTTAGGATCCACAATGTTTTGAAGGGCATTCCCGATGACCGAGACGGACTCTTTGACACCATCCAGCGCTCCAAGAACCATTATCAGAAACGGGCCTATCAGTGCATTAAATGCATGGTGGCCCTCTTCACCAACTGCTCTGTGGCTCATCAGATCCTGCAGGTGAGGCTGACGTGTTGTCATGAGCATTTACAGTTACTGGTTTAGCACAGGTCTCCAGCTCTGCTCCAACACACCTGCCTGTAATCAAGTAGCCATGAACACCTTGATTAGCTGCTTCAGGAGTGTTTGATTGGGGTTGGAGCTGAAGTCTGCAGGAGCGATCAAGTTAGAGTAGAACAGCAGAAGTGACTGATCCCAGGGAGGCAAGAACAACTCTATAGTCATCTATGAAGGCTATAAGAGTCTTGGCTCTTCGGGAAGAGTTGGAGGATCTTTCTATGTTCGTGGGACAGTGACTGTTTTTAAAAGAGACAATTAACACTCTTATGCTTTTCTCTCCTGTTGTAAATCATTGTTGGGAAACAAAACACCCTTTGCGATAGCAAGTAGTGATTGTGTTTTTCATAATGTATCTCAGAGTAACGGGGATCTGAAGAGGAAGTGGACGTGGGCAGTAGAA